CAAAATTGGAAGCCACACACCTGGAATGTCTAAAATGATAGCAACTGAAGTAAAGAAACAACCTCAGGAGGCTGTAGAGGAAATCACATCAGAAATAACCTCCCAGAGTATAAAAAGAAATGACAGCCATACATGCGTGAAGCATTTAGAGCGCTAAACAACCATGACCAACATAAATCTATACTCTAGACTTATAATAATCAAGATCCTAGAAATCCTTTTTTAAGAGAGAAAAATACAAACAAAACCAAAACAGCTCAGCTATAAAGGAAAGCCCATTAGAGAAGCGTGGCGGCCTTCTCAACACAAATGCTCAAGTCAAGAAGGGATTGAAGTGAAGTATTTCAAGTCCTGAAAGAAAACAACTTCCCACCCAGATCGATGTACTCTGCAAGACTATCTTTCAAAATTTAATGGAGAAATAAGATACTTCCATGACAAAAAACAATTTAAAAAATTCATGACCACCAAATGAATCCTACAAAGAGTACTGAAAGATATTTTAGATAGAGATAAAAATGACCAAATTGGGCCAGCAAAATAGCTCAGCAGATTAAAGTGCCTACAAGCAGATGCAGGGGCTGGGGGTTTGATCCCTGGGCCTGCCGTGCCAGCCCCAGCCCCTGGGGCCCACTGAGACTAAAATTGAGACTGGGCATGGTAGCATGTGCCTGTAATCCCAGCTCTTAGGAGGCTGTAAACAGGTGTATCGTTACGAGTAGGATCTAGTAGTGAGACCCTGTAGACCCTTCCCTAAAATACAAACAAACAAACAAACAAACAAAAAAAAAACCCACCAAATTTCCAAGAACAATATCAGGAAAAACAAAACAAAAAAAAACACCAGGCAGGCAAGGAAAATTATGTGACAAAGATAAGCCAATACTGGTCAGTTGTAAACATTAACGTAAATGGCCTCAATTCACCAATCAAAAGAAACAAATTGGAAGAATGGATCGATCAAGAAACAAGATCCAAAGACCAGTAAGTTAGGGGAGCAGACTCAGCACCTGCTTTGGCAAGTGCAGAGACCAGAGTTCTATCCCCAGTCCCACATGCTGTGCCAGCCCTGCTCCTGGGGCCTGCTGAGCCAGCGACAGAGTCTGGGTGTGGTGACACATGCGTATAATCTCAGCGCTGGGGAGGCTGAAAACAGGAGGATCACCACAAGTGCATCTGCGTAGGGAGACCCTGTACCAAATACATAAATGACTTTTGGACCTTCCCAGCACAGATCTGTGTAGCAGGCCCGCGTGAGACATTGTCATGGGCTCTAGGCCTCCAGGTGGACTCAAGCAGGGCATTGCCATGGGATCCAGGCCCTCGGCTGGGTTCTTTGGGTCTTTAGTGTGTGGACAGCTCTCCTGCACTCTCTTTGTATGACTCTTTGGGTGACTATTATAAAATAATCCTATAAATTATGTGTCCTCCATTGTTTGTTTCCCTTGCAAACCCTGAACAGACCCCCAAAATATGTAACACCAAAAGAACAAGTAAGTCAACCCAAAGATGGGAAAATGAGCTGAAAAGACATCGAAAGAAGAAGCACAAATAGTTAGCAGCCATATGAAAAAATATTCACCTTCTTTCGCCATCAGGGACACACAAATCGAAACCACACTGAGATTCCATCTCCCACCTAGTGAGAATGGCTGACATCAAGAAAACAAGAACGAACCCATGACGGTCAGGTTATGGGGAAATGAACCCTCCTACAGTGTTGGGAATGTATGGCCACTGTGGCAAACAGTGTGGAAGTTCCTCCAAAAACTAAAAATAGAGCTGCCATGTGACCTGGTGACACCCCTTGGGAGGGAATCAAAGTCAAGATCCTACAGAGACACCTTCAGACTTGTGTTTATGAAAGCTTTGTTCATGTCCCAGTCCATGAGGTCTCAGAAGCACAGGAGAAAGGTTGCGGTGGCAAGGAGAAATGTTGGCCAACCGTGGTGGTGCACGCCTGTAATCCAGCACTCGGGAGGCTGAGGCAGGAGGATTGCCATGAGCCCAAGGTCAGCCTGGGCTACAGAATGAGTTCAAACTGAACTGAGTCACCCAGCAGGATCTTATATATATCAAAGGAAAAAAGAAGAAGAAGGAGAAGGAGAAGGAGAAGGAGAAGGAGGAGAAGAAGGAGAAGAAGGAGAAGAGGAGGAGGAGGAAGGAAGAAAGAAGAAGAAGAGGAGGAAGAAGAAGAAGAAGAGGAGGAGGAGGAGGAAGGAGGAGAGGAGGAG